GCAACAGCCGGCAACGCGCGGACAAGATGGCGAACCCGGTTCAAAATTGCAGTCCAGTATATATATAGGCTTGGGATGGGTGCAAAGTAAAACAAAATGTGCACAAGTCTGAGTGTGATGTTTGATGGGGTAAAATGTCATGGTCACTACACAGGCCTCCCCCTAGAAGGCCGAGGGACGAGGACTTCGATCGCTGTTGGCTTGCAAATGTATAAAGGCAGAATCACAGGAGTTCGGTTGTATTTGGATTATTTAATCTTCTTGTGGATTGGAATGCATCATCGGTGGGCCGTCCCAGCGGGCACACCGGACTACAAAAAAACTGGATAATCCAGAAAAAGGGCCGGTAGGACCTTTCACCGCTGCTGAAAGACGGTGCGCTTGGGAGAGGTCACTCCCCCCACCGCATTCCAATCCACTGCCAAAACGAAGCTGAAATCCTGTGCGTACCGGCGAGCCGTGGGGGGACCAAAAACAACGAGCCAGGCACACGAGCAGCCAAAGCCAGGAAGGCGAGCCAGACAAACGACCAAGGCGAGCCAAATTGAGCCAAGCAAACCACGATCCAAAGGCCAACGTGGGCGGGCGAGACGACAAAGCGTTGGGGGTAGACCAAAGCATCCAAACGACCAAACCATTGAGAAACAGCCAAGCATTGAACGGACGGACCCAAACGTGCCAGCCTCATGACTTTACCTGATAGATGGGGGAAAAAACTCGGGGAGACAGATTCAGATATTTACGGAAAAGCATAATACAAACGATGAGAGAAAATGAAAAAGATTCATGAGGTGTGGATGAATTCGACAAAATCGGAGAAACGAGCAGGTTTACGAACTCTTCTACCGTGACTAGTATTAGTTTGAGGCGAATCTGGTGACTGGGATTGTGGTGGAGCTGAAAAGCTGGGCGTCGTTACAGGTGGCCCTGTAGATTGCGTTAAGGTCGATGACGAGTCGAGGGCATAAACTAAAGGTTTGTGGTCAGTAAAGACGGTAAAGCTTCTGCCCTCTAGAAAAGGACGAAAATGACGGATGATACCAAGTTCGAGCATGTGCTCGAATTCCGCCTTAGCGGCTTTTAGCTTATCAGGGGCGAGAGGTCGTGGCCGTGCAGAAACCGGTGGGCCACGGGTTCGTATATGGTGCGTAACGCTAGATGCGACCGGAAGAGTAGCGTCAGCTGAGCGGACGAGCTGCGGAAACTGTCTGAACAGATCTAAAAATTCCTTATCAGCTTCAGGCTGGATGTAAATGGGAGTGACAGAAACACAAGGTGTGCGAACTCCACATGTGAAAAGCTGGGTCTTTTGGTCAACGAGTTTGCGATGACGCGCATCGACGAGAAGATCGAAGTGTTGGAGGAAGTCAATACCCAATATAGCAAATGGAACGGCAGCGATGGTGAAAATCCATCGAAAGGGACGTCGTAGTCCGAGGTCAATGGTAAGAGAGCGTTGACCGAAGACTCGAATAGCAGTGCCGTTAGCGGCACTCAAGTTAGTTGTCTGTGGCTTAGTCGTGTCGCCTGGAACCGGTGGGATCACGCTAACTTCCGCCCCGGTATCAACCAGGAACATGATCCCGGTGTTCCTATCAACGATATTGAAGAGGCGACTTGGACGACTTCGGCCGACGGCGTTCATCGCCAATACGTGTCGGCCTGTCCTTTTTCTCGTTACGGGAAATGAGCATGGTTTTATACAATTTCTAGCGGAACTTCCAAAACGTGCGTGATAACGGCAAATTGGGAGTCGTGTTCGGCTTCGAGATGGGCTAGGAGAACGGGATGGAGAATCCCGTGGGTGCCGATGTAACTTTAAGCTTTGAACTTCTTGCCGTAGCGCGGCTATCTCTGTTAAGAGCTCACCAGTGGAAGGTGGAGTAGTGGTGTCGATGGTCTGGACCGAAGGGTCAACAGTGAAATCTACGTCAGGTGAGCGAAGAGAACTAGACGACGGACACGGTGGTCCGGTGAAGCGATCCATCATATCATCAGCAATATCTGCAACTTCTGACAAAGGCTGCGATTTCGCAAGCGATAGCATAGCTTGTACGTTTTCAGGCAAACGCTGAAGCCATAACTCTCGAAGCAGCGACTCGTCCATATGCAGTCCTTGAAGAAGACCACGCATCTCTAGCAATAGCGCGGATGGCTTACTAGAACCTAGCTGTAGACCAGTAAAAAGTTTATGCAGGCGGGACTTCAATGAGGGAGTAACACGCTTTATTACCGCGTCCTTGAGAGAATTATAACGGTCAGGAGGACAAGATGTAATAATAAGATCGCGTAGCGCTATAGAAATATCAGTCGGCAGGCGTGTGAGCAAGTGGTTAAACTTTGCAGAATCGCTAGTGACATGCTTAGACGTAAACTCAGCTTCTAAAATCATGAACCATAAAACGGGATCTTTTTCAATAAATGGTGGAACTACCAGAGATACCGCTTGCACACACTGTGAGTCCTCACACTTTTTAGAAACTGAGGCCATGATTTGCGTGAAAAAACCAAAGAAATGGAACGAACTCACCGGAATGCGATTGGGGTCACCAATTATGTAGCGGCTTGACGAATGCTACACAAGAAAACCGTAGCCCGGTGAGACAGAAGACGGTGGGATATAAAGATTGTCTTGAGAAAATAGCTATGTACAATAGCTATGTGAATATAGCTTGAGGACAATGGGAGAGAGTGGTGAAGCAATGAGTAACACCACGTAGGAACGCAACAGCCGGCAACGCGCGGACAAGATGGCGAACCCGGTTCAAAATTGCAGTCCAGTATATATAGGCTTGGGATGGGTGCAAAGTAAAACAAAATGTGCACAAGTCTGAGTGTGATGTTTGATGGGGTAAAATGTCATGGTCACTACAGACATCGTCCGCTGAATACTCCCATTCGTTTCAGCATCTGCTCTTATGGGAGACTGCCCACTCTAATGAACTATTTGGATGCCCCAGGTTGAGGCTGCTCCAATGCATTAAGGTCGTGTTTCAACCATGGATGCCAGGCTTGAATGGCGTATTCGACATGGGGACGAATATATGTACTGAGCAGCAGTTAAAAATGCTGATTATTTGTCCGAATGTCCGCCGCCACAACCCGACGCGGGGATTATCAGCTTTCGAGGACTTCTCGTGCGTCCTGGAGCAACCTAAGTCACCTTGAACCAGCACATCCAGATCACGCTCGATGGACGGTTATTGCAGTACATACGTTCCGAGCGTGTATGAGTAGTTGATCCTGTGTCGGATGGACAGTACCTTGCATGTACTCACGTTGAAATGCAGTAAATTTTGGATTGACCACTGATGTACTGTGTCTAGGTCACCCTGAAGCAGATGCTGGGCAGCATTCACTTGTATCCTGCTCCAACTCTTGATGTCGTCGGCAAACATTATGAAGTTTGAAGCGATTGCCTGTGCAAGATCATTAATAAACGCCTAAAATAAACGTGGACCTAGAATTGAGCCTTGTGGCGCACCAAACTAGACTTGTATGGGGTCAGCTAAACAGCTCCAAACTCCGACCACCAATTGCTGTTGAAGGAGGATGTTGGCGATTCCTTTTAGATAAGGGTCACTAATCCCGCAGTTCTGGAGCTCGGAATCTAGGATCCGATGACCTAGACGATCGAAACCTTCGAAAAATCCGTATGGATCACATCAACGCCTTTTCCAGCGTCTGCTGACTCGGTCCAACTAGTCCGTGTGATTAATAAATTCGTCGTGCATGACCGTTGTCGACGGAAACCGTGCTGTTCAGGCGTGATGGTGATACAGTTTTCCAGATAGCACACCAGTACATCGGCAACTATGGATACCATGACCTTGGACAGTATAGGATGAAGAGATACAAGGTGGTAGTTGGGAGGTTCAGTTCTGCCTCCGCCTTTGTGAATCGGAGTTAATAGTCCAAGCGTCCACATAGCAGCTCTGGTTCTGGTCTAACAAGCGCTGGAAAAACTGAGCCAAAGGTTCTGCTAATTGTCTTGATGCTGCTGTCAGTGCCTTTGAACGAATGGACTCCCGGGGAGATGTGGTTGCGCAGAGACGTAAGCTACTGCAATACAGCTTCAGCAGTAAAGGATGTGGATGAGTCCCGTCGACGGGACGGTAAAAGTTGTAAAATTACTTGATGGCAAGATGCTCTGAAACTTGAGGAAATATTGCATTCGAAGCACATTTGCTGCTTCTGTAGCTGTTCTTGTTGGTGCATCAGCCATGGTGCACTAAATCCCTTTGGCAATTGGTCACCCTGTGCCATCTAAACACGAAGAGGCTGCGTGACAAAAGGCAAAATGAGACGCTGTTAGAAGCTCCATAGCTCAACAGGCCGGATGGTGCTGCCTATTGAGGCATAGGGTGCCGCTGCCAAGTCTTACTGCTGGACTGTTTTAGGGGCTATTGATGGGGATGAGTTGGGTGAGTCTGCGTTGGTCGTGGGTCGATATTTCGCCAATTTCTAAGCCCGTTGGATCCGTCAAGCTTTTTTGGTAGGTCACGTGCTCAGTATTATCTGGTATAAGACAGCCCGTTTGTTTATACTGTGCCCAAATCCAACGTGACCGATTATCGTGATGTGTGCATTCGTGTATCAGATACACTGATAAAGGCTGCCTTAAGGTTTTCTATCGGTGAAAGCCAAAACAAAACAGCTTTTAACTGCATATTTAGTACATTACATGTGTGGTTATATTTGAGGATAAGTGCATCTCAGTGACAACCAGTAACCTCGACAATTTTAACACGTGGACAGTTAAGTGAAACCACACCTCAGCACTTAGTTGTAATAATTGACGATTGTAGACTAGCCGTTCTTCCAAATATGCTCGACAAACTTGATTGATGGATCGACCAACATGCCTGAAGCACAGAGGGATTTGTTTGGTGTACGGCTGAAATTGCATCCCGTATGGGCTAACCTAACCAATATATGGAAAACACTTGCTGGTAGCCTACAAGCCATAATATTATTTTTTTAATGTTTGTTTCTACCAGCACAAACAGATGTAAGTATTCGCAGCAATGCGCAGCCGAACTTCGACTTCAGTAGGAGCCAATTCCCGCCCGTTTTGCAGACCCCTCGAACAACTGCAACATCAGTCGTGGAGTTGAATGAATCCGAGAAGGAAAACAGGATGTTCCAATCAGTGTCCGAAACATGTGCTTCACATATGTACCAAACCGCAGCAAGCAGTCCAATGCGACCGGTAAAAACACCCAGAGTGAGTCAACTCATGAACTCGTGGGCCTCAAGAGATGGTTTATCGAGTTGTGATTAAAAATTCGTTCTCACTGATTTCAGCACTGCCAATTAAGATGTCCAGTTGCATCCATTAGGCCCATTTTAAACCCAGAGACATCCTCGGTAAATGACCACAAATCTGATTGCACAGGTTATACTAGCCGTCCTAACTAGTGCAGACAAAATGGATGACCAGTGCGAGCATGCATGGTTGCTATCCACAGATTAGCTCGATACTCCAGATAGCACTAATTCTAGCCACTTTTTCAACGCGGCCGCCGCAAGGTCCATTGGATGGGGCTGACTTATTAATTGCCTGCTAAGGTTCTGTTTGTTTCACTTTGGGAATGCGCTTTCTTTTATTACAATAAGTAATCAAAAGATCCCCTAGCGTCAATGAAAATATGCAGCTATTAAGAAAAATTTTAGGCGATATTGGACCACCGTACTGAACGATCGTATTTTTCTTGTATGGAACGTTAAGTTCGAGAAAGACCAAAGCTTGCTTTTGAACCAGAAAAGCATAGTATTTCTGGTAAGCACACATAGCACCAAAAAATCGAGCGTGCTAACTTGGTAAACGATTGCCTTTTATAACGTAGTATGTTCTGACTGGGGCGCATGCCATTTTTGTAGCTAGCAAATAAAGATAAGGGAGGCTGATTATAAACGGTCTAAGCATTGTAGCAAAAAGCAGTTAAAATCCGACAACCATATACAAGTAGAGCCCCTTAAACGAATTGCCAGAGCCTGTTAAATTGCGTTGCTGATTAATACTGCATATGTCAATGGAAACATATTGGTTCCTACAAACTTCCATCATGAAATTCTTCATTACACACGGCTTAGATACGCTAAGGTATCACGGAAACTAAAGCATTTCCCGCAAATTTGCAAGAAACAAAATAGTGCGAAGAAAGTACAACATTTTACAAAGAAAGCGCAAAATTTGCAAAGCAGGTGCAAATTTTTGCAAAGAAATAGCAAAATTGTGCATAACGCTGTGCGATTCACCAGTCGCTCTGAGCCAATCCTCTGACCTCAAGTGTGTTCTCTTTGGCCGGGTGCTAGGGTTTGATGCGTAAGTCAAGTGAAGTGAGCGCGCTGCCCATTGACAAGGGGAGACTTGTGATTAAACCTTGAGTGCATAGGCATGGGCGGTGCCAGCAGCTACTATGCACCCCCACCCCCCACCCCACGTCCGAAACACTGGATCACAATTGGTTTGCGAGCAATGCGCGGCCGGAACATAAGCGTACGACTGAATGGATGTCTTTATTCCAGCGGGGTTAACGTGCCTTCTTGTGTTCGACAGAATATCTCGTCAGACATCTGTGACCGAGTTGTGGATGCTTTCGTCAACGGTGACGACTGGCAGCTCGTGGCAACCGTGAACAATGGGAAATATCAAATTGCCTAATGCTGAATTCGTCGCTCTCTCGATCAGAAGCCGGATACTACCCAGGCGCGCGGTCGTAAGCGCATTCTGTCGGAGGAAGCGATTGATGACATCCTGGAGTGGATCGCGAAGGACGCAACTCGAACACTACATGAAATTCGGGTCCGAATACGTGCCAATATGGGACACGAAGAAATTTTAAAGTCTCGGCGAAATATGTATGCACGTATGTATGGTTCTACATTCGTACCGTGGTTGCAGCAAAAAGTAGGACGTCCGGAAAATGAATTGCCGGAATACTGAGAGCTATCGAAAGGCATCAAAAAATCCACCAGGGATTGATGCACCAAAAATAATTGATTCGCAACTTATTGCGCGTACAGTAAGCCACCGATAAGTGAACGGGGTGTTTACGCCCAACTTATTGTGATGTCGGATCAGAGTGCACTCTATAAGCTGCTAGAAATAGCCAGTACTGCATTCAGGAGAACACTGCGGCGCCAAGTGCAAATAGTGCGAGTGGTCGCGTCGCACAACCGATTTCGCTGCCACGTAGTAGTACAACCGTGCGAGAGCTTGAGAAATGGATTCATTCCTAAATACGGTTTGGGCTGCGTATTGAACGAAATGTTTAATTCCACGGGTACTTCCTCAAACATTTGAAAGAACGCAAGATAAAACCACCGAGGATGAACGTACCCAAAAAAGAACTAAGTGTGCACATTCCTTTCAAAGGCGACAGTGCGGCTGATGCCCTGTCCAAACGCCTGAGAGACGCTGTTGAAAAGACCTACTTCACGGCTCGCCTACGTATAGTATTTTACAACAAGCCTTTATTCGCAAAACTTTTGAAAGACAGGCTGCCTCCGGTGACTCGATCAATGCTTGTTTATCTTTACTCGTGCTCCTGTGGGGCACGATACGTGGGTCGTACCACGAGGCGCCCATCTCATAGGATTCGCGAACACCTCCCAAAGTGGTTTTACAAAGGCGAAGCTAGGTCCAGCGAAAGTTCCATCTTAGCTCACCTACTAGAGTGCAGTCATGCAGAGACGGAAAATGATTTTAGAGTCATTTATGCTGTTCCTGAACGTTTCACGCGCGGATTCCGGATGCATCTTCTGTCTATCGCGGAAGCTAGCTACATCCGCCACCTCAAGCCAGAATTGTGCGTACAAAAGAGTTTGTACGTCCTTTGCTTATACCGTGGCCTATAACTTCGGTTATGATTTCCCCTGTACATACTTGCCACTCCCAATGACCCCGTGATTCATTAATTTGTACCCGTGGAATTAAACATACTGTTCAATACGCAGCCCAAACCGGCACATTTAGCACTTTTCCTCATCATGTAATGTTTGAGTATGATGAGAATTGCCGAAAAGAATTCTTTACTCAGCTTCTACCTCCCATGTTTCATTCTAATACATGGGAATTTTTGGATTGCTGAAGGCCAGCATTCCCCGTGATTCAGTCAAGCATTGATTGGAATCAGGTATACCCAAAATGAGATGAATAGAAATTAGAGAAACTGGAAACTTCTATCTGCAACACACCACAGCAGTATGAGGATTACAATTGCTGCAGGCCACTTTCACGGATCAGCTGCTTATTACACTAGTTCTGTTGCCACCATTCCCTTTCCTCGCAACAATAATCCTACAAGCAATTGCAATTAGTCAATTCAACTCGAAAACTCAAGTAAGAAACCAATATCAATTATTGGGGATTACTAACAACAGATTTTATATAAAGACCAAAGTTCACAAAGGACCATTGGTTACTACGAATTTATGATTTCACCTTGAATTATTCGTAACTCAATGGTCGAATTTGGTGAGCAGATGCCCTTTTGAGCGGCCAAAGGGAACTGCCAATCGGTATCTTTCGACCTGCAGTAATTTGGAGAATGCTAACCGTCTAATCACAGTAGTTCATTGCGAATGAATGAGGTACACGAAAGTTATGCCGGTTAGTAAGCAATACTTTACAAGTCCCGTTGGGTGGTCTGATGGGGTTGGCATAATTTAATAAAACAGTTGGTGTTTAAATGTTAAAAATAGGACTTATGCCATATAGTTTCGTTGCACCAACGAGGGACAAGACATACCTCTAAGGTATTTCTATGGAGTAGGATGGGGAGAGAGTGTTAAGTCACAACATTTAAATGGTGAGTGTTTCATCCAACCGTCCTCTAGAAATGGCTACTGTCGGTGCGGAAACGACCGCTTCAGTGAGAGTGTTCTACGGATGGCTTACGCGCCTAGAAAAGAACTCCCTGCGACACACCAGATGGCTGT